CACACACACACACACACACACACACACACACACACACACACACAGCGCTACCCTGCACGCTCCGTCAGCCCTGCCCCCGGCCGCCACCCCAACCCGCCCACCAAGCGCCAGCCCTCCCCGGAAGGGAAGGGGAGCAAGCTTGGCATCGCCCCTGCTCTCACCGGTTTGGCGCCGGGCAGTCTGGGCCGTACTCCTGCACGTACATGCAGAAGATGGCGACGTCGACGCCGTCGATGCGCTGGTACAGCAGCAGCACGCGCTGCCGGTAGGGGAACGCCTCGGGGTAGGCGCCGCCCTCCGCGCGCGCCAGCTCCAGGAACTTGGGGCGCACCTGTTTTGGGGTTTAGGGTGTCAGGTTCCGGGTTTTGGAATTTGGGTTGGGGGCGCCGGGCATGGGTAGGGTATACTTTTGGGGGGCGGGGGATGTGGTTGCGAGGGACGCGAGGGCGGTGGGAGGGGAGCTGCCGCGAGCAGCCCCAGCGCAGTGCGGCCTGCGAGCCGGGGCCGGCCAGCGGGGATGCCACGCCAGCCGTCGCCCTGCCGAGCGGGCGAGGGCCTGCGCCCACAAGGCGCCCTCCGAGGAGGCGGCCTCATGACCACAGGCTGAACCGCGTGAGCCATGGGGCCGGCGGCTCACTGCACCCCACGCTCCCCAATGCTTCACCTGATGGCGTCCATTTCTTACTTTGTGCCGGCCTAGAAGAAGGCGCCAACCGGCAGGATAGGACCTTTCACGCCCCCTCAGCCATGTGACTGGTTGTGGTTGGCCACTGCCCCCCCTCACCTCACACTTCTTCATGACGTTGTTGATGACCCGCACCGTCAGCCCCTCCGCCGCGGGCACCGCCTCCACCGCCACCCCCGCCTGCGCCGCCCGCCGCGCGCGGTCCGCCGCCAGCTGGCGCTCGAGGCGTGCCTGGATGGCGCGGCTCAGCGCGCAGTGCGGCAGGTCGGCGGCCTCCAGCATCGACTGCGGCCGCGTCTCGATGCGCTTGCGCAGGCCGCCGGCCAGGCCCTGGGGGGGCGGGGCGGTGTGTGTGTGTGTGTGTGTGTGTGTGTGTGTGTGTGTGTGAAAGGGGGGGAGGGCAGGGCATGACTTTGTGGGCGGCCCATACGATTGAGGCTGCGGGCAGGAAAAAGGCCGCGCGGGCGCGCCGGCAAGGCGCACAGCCAACGCAGCAGACGGGGCTGCTTCAAAGGGCGAAACCACTGCACATCCGGCGCTCCTTGAGCGGACGGCTTGGAGAGGAAGTCTTGAACCCTGCGTCCACAACCCGAAAGCCGTCTGATTCCAGGCCGATACCTCCCACACATACATCCGCACACCCACTCACATACACCCCAACACACACACACACACACACACACACACACACGGGCCCCGCACCCTGTGCAGGCAGTCTGGGCAGAGGTAGGTTGAGTTGGCGTTGTTGCGGCCCTTGTTGAAGAGGCCGCATATCTGGTGCACCCAGCCCTCGCAGCAGTCGCACTGCACCCAGTACTCCTCAATCTCCTCGTCGTTCTTGCGCTTCACGATCTCAGCCTTGCGCACAAAGCCAGACTGGTGGGGGGGAGGGAAATGTGTGTGTGTGTGTGTGTGTGTGCGCGTGCGCGCGCGTGTGTATGCGTGTGTGTGTGTGTGTGTGTGTGTTTGTGTGTGTGTGGGTGCTGCCGACAGTCTTGTGGACGCAGGAGAAGAGACGACCTTCAAACCAGCGGTAAACACCGACCTCCAAGCCAGCCGCACAAATGGCCGGCACAGCTTGGTCCAGGGCAACCAGACAGAGGGATGAGAGCAAACGGGCCCGGCCGCCACTATACGCCCACGCCGCCTGGCGCTCACGGCCCAGGGGCCAGCAGGGCGGCCTTCCCCCACCTGCGAGCCATCGAAGGGGATCCTGTCGCCCTTGTGTTCGCTGTAGCAGCCGTGGCACCAGAACCCCTTGATCTCGTACTCCTGGGCATGACAGGAAGGAGACAGGACACGCGGCAGGCAGGGTGAGACAGGGGCAGCCAGCCCTAACTGAGCACGCGCCCGGGAATGAGCAAACGCAGCTGCGCAAGAAGCTTTACACAGCCCCGTGGCTGCGCCGGAGGGCGCCCTGCCAACCGCAGTGAGCGCAGAGGCGCGCCGCCGCGACGCCCGGCCTCCCGCCCTTCCCCCTTCGGGCGCGCCTCCTGCCCCCAACCCCGCGCCCCCGCCCTGCCCACCGTGGGTGTGCTGTAAAACGTCTGGCCCCGCCGTATCCGCTGCCCGCACTGGATGCAGTACAGGCACGGCGGCTCAAACGTGAACTTGGACTGCCGGCAGACCGTGCACACGTCCTTGGGGTCGGCATACGCCGCCGCCGCGCCCGCGCTGCTGGCGCCGTTCTTGCCGGCCAGGCGGTTGACCTCCTCCCTGACGCGCGCCACGTGGCCGCGCAGCTGGGCGAGCTCAAAGGTCTCCAGGAGGGAGGTGCCCGTGTTCTGTTGGGGGTCCAGGGTCCAGGGTTCAGGTTTTGCAGTTCAGGGTTTGGGGTCCAGGGTTCAGGGTTCACGTTTCAGGGTATGGAGTTCAGAGTCCAGATTGCGGTGGAGGCGGGAATGGCAGAGAGGACCAACCGGGCTCGGTCAGGCGGTTGGGCGGGCATGCAGCTGTGGGGTGGGGCGGTGGGACGGCCAGGCGGCTTGCATGTGGGCTCCAGGGG